AAAAAATATATAAAATATTAATTAAAATAAATATTAAATATATTTTAAATATTTTTAAGGTGTCAAAAAATATTTAAAAAATCAACTAAGCCTTTGTTATTTTAGTTTTTTAATTTTATGTAAATTAACTTAATAATTTTATATAATGATGATAATTAAAGAATTTTAATCTAAACAAAAATATTCAGTAAATTTATAACATGATGTATTATTATATAATTTGCTATTTTCATTCAATAGTCCACCTGTGATATTGTATATATCCATTCATCTAATACCATATTATATTTCATTTAATATCACATAAGATTATAAATTTACAATTCTATGTGAAATTGTAACTATAGTATTACTATTTGATTAATTGATTAATTAAAATAAAGATTTTTTAAATTTGTATCCTAAAAGAGCACAAGTTGAAAGTATAATAAATACATTTTTTTATCATAATTTACGTTGAAAAAATAAAAATTAATCTTTAATTTATTAACTATCAAATTAAATTCATTTACTTACAACGATATTAAAATTAATGTTAACTTTTACATTTTTTATTCATTTATAATGAAAATGTGCCTTTAATATATACCATAAGAGCACAGTATAAACAAACCTTTAAAACAATTCATGTGGTTTTAGTAGTGACATTAAAATAAGATTTTATATTTTTCTATACAATTTAATGTTAAAAAAGTACATTAATTATACGCTTAACTTATGTCATAGTAATTTCATCACTAATGCCATTATTTCCTCCAAAATCCTCTCCTTTCGGCTGCTTGTAGTAGAAATGCTTAGATGTGTCACTTGTTTTGCTCAAAGTAAGAAAAAAGAATTTCTGGCGAGTCTCACTTCTTCCATGTGTAAGAACTTGCTTAAAAGTCAATGGAAAAACATCATTTGATTGAAAGATTATGCTAATAATACATTGACCAAACGATTGTAGTAGAAATAAGGATGCATTCTTGCATAAAGGTTAAAAAAAAATTGTCCTAGAAGAATATCAAAGACTTCCCACATCTAAGACCACAATGAAGTTACTTTGTTAAGAAAAATAAGCAAAAATAAAAAAGAAGGAGAAGGAGTGTTGTAAAAATAAAGGATGATCTAAGACTAAAATAATGGAATGACATTAAACTAAAGAGTGCAACAGAAATATTAAAACTTAGCTAGAATTAGAAACTAAAAATATTAGCAGAAATGTAAATTAAAAACATAAAGAACTAGCTGTAGATAGAAATGAAATAAAATTAAGATCTTTATTTAAAAACTTAAGAAAAATTAATTACAACTAAAGATTGAATCATAAAATTGCTAACAAAGTAGAAATTAAATTTAGGCGACTAGACAAAAACAAGAAATGTGCTGGCAAAAGAAGAATAAATATATTACATTTAACTGCTAGAGCTAACTTAATTTTAAACAACAAAAATAAAGAACCAATTGAGAGTGTTAAACATCTTCTACATTAACAAGAAGTTATAGAGTCATTATAGGAGTTATCTATGAACTAAATGACAGCTTTGAATTCTTCTTCGCAAAATGGAATTTTGCCACATGTCATTCTGGTTATTAGAAACACAATTTTGCTTGCTATAAATCCCTAAAATCAAGCTTGTTGAAATAGTTTTTTATTTTCCTCAACTAAACTAAACAATTTTATACTATATCAGCAACTTCCCTGATTTTGTGGAACAACTAAGCTCCTCCTTTTAATTTTTGCCTTGGGTAGATATTTATTGCACTAGAATTTCTCTTGGACTAGATTGCATCAAATCATGGCCATTAATTGTGTTTTGAATTGAAAAAAATTGTGGCCATTGAATCTCTATTTAAGATACGTGGCATTATCAAGAAAATTATCTTATCAACTATAGAGTAAACAATCATGTATATTATTTTAATTAAATAATTAATTAAATAAATATCAACTTTTATTTTCTTTAATAACAATTATTATGAAAAAAGACTTGGGCTTTCCGGCTCAATGAC